TCCCCTCAAGGTCAAACTGGAGAGGGTCAGTAGTTTGTTCATGGAGGACCTCGACACATGCCTGTAAATACAGGCATGGGGACGGTGGCTGAGTAGACAGCACCCTGTACACGTAATCCTATGGATCAGGGTTCGATTCCCGGCGCCATCGAGAAACAAAATGGGCAGAGTTTCTTTCACCCTGATGCCCCTGTTACCTAGCAGTAAATAGGTACCTGGGAGTTAGACAGCTGCTACGGGCTGCTTCCTGGGTGTGTGTGTGTGTGTGGGGGGGGGGGGAAGTTAGTTAGTAGTTAGTAACAGTTGACTGATTGACAGTTGAGAGGCGGTCCGAAAAAGCAGAGCTCAGCCCCGCAAGTACAACTAGGTGAATACAGGCTTCCTGGCCCCAACAAAACGAAATATACTAATTAGTAGCTTCCCAATCCACCACCAGCTACCAAACTCACCAGCAGATACCATACCAATCACCAGCCACTATACCAACCAGCAACTACCCAACCCACCGTCAGCCACCATACCAACCAGCAACTACCCAACCCACCGTCAGCCACCATACCAACCAGCAACTACCCAACCCACCGTCAGCCACCATACCAACCAGCAACTACCCAACCCACCGTCAGCCACCATACCAACCAGCAACTACCCAACCCCACCGCCAGCCACCATACCAACCAGCAACTACTCAACCCACCGTCAGCCACCATACCAACCAGCAACTACCCAACCCACCGTCAGCCACCATACCAACCAGCAACTACCCAACCCCACCGCCAGCCACCATACCAACCAGCAACTACCCAACCCACCGTCAGCCACCATATCAACCAGCGACTACCCAACCCACTGCCAGCCACCATGCCAACCTGAGACTACCCAACCCACTGCCAGCCACCATACCAACCGGCGACTACCCAACCCTCCGCCAGCCACCATACCAAGCAGCAACTACCCAACCCACAACCAGCCACCATACCAACCAGCGACTACCGAACCCCACCGCCAGCCACCAAACCCACCAGCGACTACCCAACCCACCGCCAGCCACCATACCAACCAGCAACTACCCAACCCACCGCCAGCCACCATACCAACCAGCAACTACCCAACCCACCACCAGCCACCATACCAACCAGCAACTATCCAACCCACCACCAGCCACCATACCAACCAGCGACTACCCAACTCACCGCCAGCCACCATACCAACCAGCGACTACCCAACCCACTGCCAGCCACCATACCAACCAGCAACTACCCAACCCACCGCCAGCCACCATACCAACCAGCAACTACCCAACCCACCGCCAGCCTCCATACCAACCAGCGACTACCCAACCCACCACCAGCCACCAAACCCACCAATAGGAGGAGGGCCGCCAAGGTGTAAACAAACAGCTTCCCTCCTGGCTCAGCTGGTCGATCTCCCGCACTGCTCCTCTCCTGTATTTCTTGTCTCACTCGTCCCGCGATGCGACCAGACCTCTTCAAATAAGGTACACCAGCATTTTGCGAGCTGAGGCAGCGGTCTGGTTAGTGAAGAACACCTACAATTGTTGTTTATTTGATAGAGGTGACAACGTCCACGGACAGAATAGGTGGAGCAGGGCTATAGAAGGTCGAGTAGGTCAGAGCAGTGGTAAGTGGAGTAGGTACATGGAGCAGGTCTACAGTGGGTGGAGCAGGTCTACAGTGGGTGGAGCAGGTCTACAGCGGGTGAAGCAGGTCTACAGCGGGTGGAGCAGGTCTACAGCGGGTGGAGCAGGTCTACAGTGGGTGGAGCTGGTCTACAGTGGGTGGAGCAGGTCTACAGCGGGTGAAGCAGGTCTACAGTGGGTGGAGCAGGTCTACAGTGGGTGGAGCAGGTCTACAGTGGGTGGAGCAGGTCTACAGTGGGTGGAGCAGGTCTACAGCGGGTGAAGCAGGTCTACAGTGGGTGGAGCAGGTCTACAGTGGGTGGAGCAGGTCTACAGCGGGTGAAGCAGGTCTACAGTGGGTGGAGCAGGTCTACAGTGGGTAGAGCAGGTCTACAGCGGGTGCAGCAGGTCTACAGCGGGTGGAGCAGGTCTACAGTGGGTGGAGCAGGTCTACAGTGGGTGGAGCAGGTCTACAGTGGGTAGAGCAGGTCTACAGTGGGTGAAGCAGGTCTACAGCGGGTGGAGCAGGTCTACAGTGGGTGGAGCAGGTCTACAGTGGGTAGAGCAGGTCTACAGTGGGTGAAGCAGGTCTACAGCGGGTGGAGCAGGTCTACAGTGGGTGGAGCAGGTCTACAGTGGGTGGAGCAGGTCTACAGCGGGTGAAGCAGGTCTACAGTGGGTGGAGCAGGTCTACAGTGGGTAGAGCAGGTCTACAGCGGGTGAAGCAGGTCTACAGCGGGTGGAGCAGGTCTACAGTGGGTGGAGCAGGTCTACAGTGGGTGGAGCAGGTCTACAGTGGGTAGAGCAGGTCTACAGTGGGTGGAGCAGGTCTACAGTGAGTGTAGCAGGTCTACAGTGGGTGGAGCAGGTCTACAGTGGGTGCAGCAGGTCTACAGTGGGTAGAGCAGGTCTACAAAGGGTGGAGCAGGTCTACAAAGCGTGGAGCAGGTATACAGCGGGTGGAGCAGGTCTACAATGGGTGGAGCAGGTCTACAGTGGGTGGAGCAGGTCTACAATGGGTGGAGCAGGTCTACAGTGGGTGGAGCAGGTCTACAGTGGGTGGAGCAGGTCTACAGTGGGTGGAGCAGGTCTACAGTGGGTGGAGCAGGTCTACAATGGGTAGAGCAGGTATACAGTGGGTGGAGCAGGTTTACAGTGGGTGGAGCAGGTCTACAGTGGGTGGAGCAGGTCTACAGTGGGTGGAGCAGGTCTACAGTGGGTGGAGCAGGTCTACAGTGGGTGGAGCAGGTCTACAGTGGGTGGAGCAGGTCTACAATGGGTAGAGCAGGTATACAGTGGGTGGAGCAGGTTTACAGTGGGTGGAGCAGGGATACAGCAGTTCGAGTGGGTAAGGCAGGTAGTGTGGGTCCACAGCAAATGGAGAAAATCTATAGTGGGTTAAGGTGGAGCAGATCTATTAGTGTTGATTGGGATCAAGGTGTGTGGAACAGATCTAGGGCAGGTGAAGAGGGTCTATAATAGGTGCTTGTGCATTGTTAATCCCCTAGAGAGAGATGATGTTGTCTTGTCTATATACTGAGATCTTTGGGGCTTACAGTCCCCAAGTGGGCATGTCGCATATAATAGGAATGGGGGAAACGTTTCAACTTGAGTGGAGGCCGTGGCTGTCACGAGCGAGGTCACGAGGACAGTGAGTCTCCAGCGTGGATGGGCGCCCACACGGGGTCGGGATGTCACGTGGGGTATACAGGGAATGGGCAGACATTTTAATTTTTAATCTAATTTTAAAACGAGTCCCATAGAATTCGGACAATAAATGTAATTTCTAAACATTTGTAACATTAATGATGCCGTCTGTGTCATCAGGCACACTCCGTATTTTGGTTCTATGACAGAATATGCGGCATCGGGCAGCGAAAAATGTTAGAGATTTGAACCTTCTGGGAACTACGAGCCAGAACCTGGTTCTCTCAGAAGGCGAAGGGAGCAATGGCTTATGAACACTTCACTCTATGAGAGTATAGTCATATCTGCCATCAACCAGGGGTATCACCCAGAAAGGTAGGCACACTATGACAAACCCCAACTGGTAAAACAGTGCAAACCAAGACTGAATATAGCCCAAGAACTCCCCCCCAAGAAGAAATAACAAACAAGCAAACTTCCACTCAACCACTATTCGCCCTGGTTAGCGACAACCCCCCAAACAGGAGGGAGGACCCCCATCTGGGTGACCAAGAGCTGACATCTGCAATTTGTCAACTGATGTCTTATAGAGCGGATGCTATTCTTGGCCTCATTCTCCTGTCAGGATTTTGCCTTGTGTGGTGCCTGCTGTGTGTTGGGGCATTAGCCAGATATTATGGTGTACTCGGGTACGTTTAGGGTTTCCTTCCCTTGACGCCCGATAGGTACAATCCCCAGCATATTCAGGGTTTTCTTCCCTGGGACGTTCGGAACTTCACTCCCATTGAGGTTGTTGTCGCTTGTCATTAACCTCGCCCTTGGGGTTCTGCGGGGGTCGTGGGGTTCTCCGTCTGGCCCTGGGTAGAGAGCATTGTTGTTGTTGGCTGGGGCGCACAGTGTTTTGCACAGCTTGCATAATTGCGGTAGCTGTGTCTCTATCTGGTCTCTGGTTGTTGTGGTGTAACTTCAAGGGTTTCTAATTTTCTGTTATTTCCTGGATGAGATCTGCCTAGTTTCTGATTAGGTTCACCTAGGTTGTGTTTGGTGGTCCTACTCTTGGGCCCCTCGAGGTTGCACAGTCGACTTCTTGGGGTCTGTTTGCTCGGTATTAGACGGGGTTCAACTGGCTTAGCTACACCAGTGTCTGGGCTTCCTGTCGGGATTCCTACTCCTGCGGGGCCTGGTAAACCCTTTGAGGTGGTGCAGCTATAAATATGTCATCCGAGTCCCCTCTCGGTTTGTGCGAGTTTGAAGGTTGTTCGTTGTTCGAGGTACTTGGGGGATAGGCAGCGGCTGCATTGCAGTTTACGTTTTTGTTGTTCTGGTGCTAGTCCCCAGTGGGCCTATAGAACTGCATAGCTGATGCGACCTAGTAGATGGTACCATATCAGCATAGTAGCTTCAAAGAGCCACCGGGGCTCTCACAGAAATTGACATTTAATTACTCTCAATGGTTTTTTTAATGACGATCCAAATATTAAATATGGTACATGTTTACAGTCATTTGGCAATTTTGATGTTTTGCTCCTTATTGAACCTTGCAGTTATCTGTAAAGCTTGATGTTCCAAATAATAAATAAGGCATAAAATTTAGTTTGAGAGATTTCTTTATTGTCATGTATGAATAACTAAATACTGTGTATAAATATTGAAAGATATTCAGTAATTTTTCTTGCATGTATTTTAACTAATGTCTGATTCTTTTATCCAACAGGCGAGGTCCTCAAGTCATGGATAGTTCTGGATGTGTTTGTGGCCGAGGTATGGGAATTGTTGGTTCAAGCGGTACTTTGGGAGTGAATTCATCCTGGTTGGACGAGAATGAACCATCAACACCTTCTTCACTTTCTACAAGCCTCTTGACAAAGAATAAACCTTTTCCAATTAGAGGTATGTTTTGCTTTCATCCTTTATGCTCGGAGTAAAATCTTTTATCTTATTTCGTGTACTTATTCATGGGATTAGGATTTGAAACTATATGTCTGTGACAACAAATGCCACTTAACTAGTTTTGTTTGTCCAAATTTTATGTAATGGAAACTGCATGTGAGCTGCATATGAAGTCAAGCTTCTGGGAAGCTGCATACCATATCAAGCTCCCTGCGAGTTGCATACCAGAGCAAGGTGCCTGCAAGCTGCTTAGATGAGCAAAATACTGTACCTACAAGCTGCATACCAGAGCAAAGTGCCTTCAGGCTGCTTACCTGCACAAGCTGCCTACAAGCTGCATACCACAGCAAGGTGCTCACAAGGTGCATACCTGAGCAAAGTGCCTGCAAGCTGCATACCACAGCAAGGTGCTCACAAGCTCCATACCTGAGCAAAGTGCCTGCAAGCTGCATACCACAGCAAGGTGCTCACAAGCTCCATACCTGAGCAAAGTGCCTGCAAGCTGCATACCACAGCAAGGTGCTCACAAGCTCCATACCTGAGCAAAGTGCCTGCAAGCTGCATACCACAGCAAGGTGCTCACAAGCTGCATACCTGAGCAAAGTGCCTGCAAGCTGCATACCACAGCAAGGTGCTCGCAAGCTGCATACCTGAGCAAAGTGCCTGCAAGCTGCATACCACAGCAAGGTGCTCGCAAGCTGCATACCACAGCAAGGTGCTCGCAAGCTGCATACCTGAGCAAAGTGCCTGCAAGCTGCATACCACAGCAAGGTGCTCGCAAGCTGCATACCACAGCAAGGTGCTCACAAGCTGCATACCTGAGCAAAGTGCCTGCAAGCTGCATACCACAGCAAGGTGCTCGCAAGCTGCATACCACAGCAAGGTGCTCGCAAGATGCATACCTGAGCAAAGTGCCTGCAAGCTGCATACCAGAGCAAGCTGACTTGCCATCACCATCATCACCTGACTTGCCATCATCAGCTGACATCGTCATCATAAAAGTTTAGTCTAAGTCTAGTAGCTAAGTCTACCGGGCCATCTCTCTTCCACTCTGCCTCCAGTGTTCTGATTCAGCTGCATACCAGATGGTTTAGTATACCATACAAAGTGATGGTTTGTGCTCTTGTTGGTGTTTCCTCCTCACTGCAGTGTAGCATGAGCCTAGATTTGAGGGTGCTTGGAGCTGCATGGCACAGGCTTACTTTCCTTGCATGCTACATAGTGCTGCCCTTGCATTGCCAGGGGTTATCCTTCCTAAAGTGTTTTGGAGTCGTGTTTTGGACCCTTAGAAGTCCTCACTTGTGCTTGTCTCAGGGTGGTCCAGGGTGAGTCGGGTGTCTTGGGATCTTTCTATCTTACCTTCAGTTTGGAGTGGCATTGGCTGGCAGTGGGTATTTCTGGGTAGTTCATGTGCTTCTCTCAGTGTGCCGAGCTCGACCTTCCCAGCCAGGTTGTATTGGCTTACTTGTAGGTCTTGTCATAGTGATCCCAGTGCCTGAGCTTCCTTAAGCTCCATTCTGATTGGCTCACAGAGGAGGTGGGGATGCTTGTAGGGGGACCCCATGCGAGGATCTTGGCCTCTGCTGTGGCTGTGTCGACTGCACTTCCCAAGCTGTATGCTCCCGTGCCCCAGGAGGCAGTAGCCACGTTCTTTGCAACCTGACTTGCATGTCAACAGGCTGTTAACCCATTCTTTGGATTCACCATAGGCCCCTTGCTCTCCTGTCTGCCTTTCCATTTCTCAAATTATCTTTCCTTAGGAGGTTGTTGTGCACTATTTCTCTTCTGCAGCTGCGACTTCTGGGCCCATTATGTACTTACTCTGTTTTTGGGGTTTACTCGGATTCATTTTCCGATGTGGTCCGGTAGAGCTGGGGGGTCACCTGTTGTTGGTTGAAGTAGGCCATCCGTGGAGTCAGAGGCCAGATCGTGTGTTCTTCACATGGCTGATCCTTCTCCATCTGGTTGGGGCTGTGCTTGCTTTTTTAAAAAAGACAGCCTCTTGTGGTTCGCTCTGCCCCTTTTGCAGTTCACTTCTTTGATGGGCGAAAGGTGGCTCACCCAGTTTGCCGATTCCTGGTCCCCACGATATGTGGGTTTTTCAGGTCGTTTCCCACAGCCTGCAGTAGAGCTGGTTGGGTCCTCTACTTCCCAGGGATTCGGGTCTTTCCGGCCAGGCCTCCTCTCTTCACCTGCATTGGGTCATCTTGAAATGGGTGGCTTCCAGGGTGGTTGAAATGACTTAATCTCGTTGGTCGGTTTCCTGCCTCTTACCTTTCCTAAAACAGGACTCACTGACCCTCTGGTTCAGTCTTGATCTTTCGCAGCTGAGCTAGATCATTCCTTGCCCCTCCTTCCAGATAACCACGTTGTCCCTGATCCATCTCATTCTAGAGGCAGACTCTTTGATGATTTCCCAGGACCTCTAGGATGCATATTGCCACATCCCTATATACATCCAGGGGTTTAGGAATTGGCTAGGTTTTGTGGTGGGGTGACAAGTTTACCACTTTCAGGTTCTCCTGTTTGGCCTTAATCTGGCTCCACACATATTCACACACTTGGCTTGAGTCATCTTTGCTTGTCATCAATTGTTTAGGGTTTGTGTTTTGGTAGGTGTCACCACACCTACCTCAATCACTGGCTGATGTGTGCTCCCAGCTGGTCCGCATGTTTGGTAGCCATGGATCTGGTTCTTTACCAGCTTACTGGTTTTAGGTTTCTGGTGAATTGAAGGATGTTTCAGTTGATTCCTTATCAGGTTCAAAATTGGCTGGGCCTCATTTAGGACTCTCGCTACTTTTCCTGCCACTGGCAGCCTTGACCCAGCTGCAGCACCACTGTCTGTAGGTGTTGAGTTGGCCCCAGGTGACGGAGGTTGTTTGAACAGTTGATCGGGTTCTTGAACTTTGCTTACCTCTTGTTTCCTCTTGGTGAGAATTGGCTTTGACAGCTGTTCTGGTTTCTCTGGGGCAGCCCCCATTGCTTCCACCGCGATTGTTTGATGTAGGCCCTATTGGCCTTGGGCCAGATACTGCATTGCTGGCTTCCTCTTCAGGCTTTTTGGGGTTTGGTTTTAGACGAGCATAAGAAATATTGCCAGAACAACCATGGACATCTTCAAGAGGAAACTAGATTGTTTCCTCCAAGGAGTGCCGGACCAACCGGGTTGTTGTGGGTATGTGGGCCTGCGGGCTGCTCCAAGCAACAGCCTAGTGGACTAAAGTCTTACAAGTCAGTAGAGGGGACAGGGGAGTAGAAGAACTCCCAGAACCCCCATCAACCAGGTATCAACTAGGGATTTCTTCAAGGCATCAGTAAAGACTCGATGTCTTCACGGATGCCTTGGCTCTGGGTTGGGGCTTTGTGACCTACTCTCACCAAGCCGGCCAGGATCAGTAGCCTCCACTCCTCCACTCCTTAGGGAAACAAAGCTGCTGAAAAAAAAACATTAGAAAGTTCACTTTTGCAAACAGAGTAGTAGACAGAACAAGTAAAGTGAGAAGGTGGCGGGAGCTAAAACCATCAGTAGTTTCAAAGCATTATATGACAATGCTTACTGGGAAGACAGGATACTATGAGTGTAGCTCTCATCCTGTAACTACACTTATTCAATTACACTTAGGAAATTTCCAGATGGCCCCCCAGCAGAGCCATCATCCATGTCCACCACCCAGAATAGAAAAGCAGAGTCCAAGAGAGAGGGTTCAGAGGAAGAAGGGGTCTGGGTGAAAGAAAACCCCCCAAATCCTTGGTGGGACCAGTAAACTCAACTGCTTCCACACCCAAATCGGAAGGGCAACGCCCAGAGCTGACCAACCCACATCCCGAGTTAAACCCTGTCTTGGAACAAAACCCTCAGGGTGTTTTGAGGCGGGAAGCAGGGAGTAGGAACAATAGAAGGGTAAACCAGGCTTGAGAAGGAAGGAAGATAAGGTGCAGATAGAGCCAGGAGGCCATTAACCTAGGTTAACACTTAACCTATACTGCTGCAACACAGAAAACCTAAGATGCAAAGCGGTCATTGCCTGAAAACCTCCAACCTCATTGGGTGGTGTGGGTGGGGGGGAGGTCAGTAAGGAGAGCAACATGATGGGAGCAAATCCCACCTGACTCAGGGTCGAAGGTGTCACCAACCCAGCAGACAGCATGGCGGAGGCAGAGGGAATGAACATGGCCACGTGGCATGGGCAACATGCAACTCTCAGACTTTCATGAAGCAAGAGTGGCTTCAGGGGAGTATATGATTAGGACCACCAAATCTGCTGGGGATTTCCAAGGCCTGCAGGGTAAGTGACCCAACAAGATACCCAGGCACTAGAAAGCTATATTGGTCCTAATATGAGGACCAGCATAGCTTGTCTCTCCTCATAGTATGAGAGGAGACAAACCAAAGCAGCCAGTCACATGCTACTGCTAAGGTCGACCTCGGTACACTGTAGTTACAGCTCATGAACAACCAGTGTGCTCTGCCAGTCAAAATCACTCCCTACCCAAGGAAAGACAGAAAGCCAAAGACTAGTGACTCACCTAAGGCAAGGGCTACCACAAGCAAAGAGACCCCTCTGAAAGGAGCGGTTTCCAAACACTCCCGGGAAGATAACTCTGAGCACTTGCAGCTCCAAGCTTTCTTAACTCCTGGCTCACACTACATATATCAGTACAGTAACAACCACAAATGTTACCACCTCTTAACTGAAAGCAGAGACAGGAGCCAGTGTCAAAGAGGGCAACCTGACACATGCTACCATGAGATAGAACTAAAGTTAGAACTGCCAGCTTACTGTGGGCTGCCTCCCTCCTTCCCCCAAATGAGTGGAGAAGGTGGGGCAAATGAGCCGACACTAGTTTCGGGACTTCGATCATTTGTTTACATAATTTGGGGAGTTCTTTGGTGGGTCTCAAGGCTTCAGTCTTGTTTGAAGCCAGCAATGGTCTATTTTGTTTCACTAACTTTCTGGGTGCCTTTTCCAGTGGGTGATATCCATGAATAAAGTTTT